TTTTGTTTATATTTACACATGTGTGTACAATGAAGGCTTATGGCTCGTTAGTCAAATCGTCAACACTCTCAACTATTTATCATTTCCAACGAGCGTGTCATCCGCTTGTGACACTCACTGCGTGGGTGTATGAGAAATACTCACCAACCCTCTGTTATTCTGTTTGTAATGTGTGGAAACTTTTACAATTATTATGATCTCACATAGATATTGTGTTCGTGAGTTGTTTATGAAATCGTGGTGAAGCTTTCACAAAAAATGATGATAATATTATTTTTAGAGATGATACGGCAGGCAGTATATGACTACCAATGTAAACAGGTACAAGTGTTCCTTGTATCTTGTGTTTGTATGTGTGAACGTATTTATGCATCATAATCCCCAGCCTGTAAGTGCATCTTCTTAGAAGGTTTGAGCATTAGTCACCACGCCTTTTTATGGCGGATTGGTAATTTCAAACTTCGAATTGTTAGAACATTTTAGACCACCTTTAGTCGCGATATTTCCTTTCACCGTTTGTCAGTAGTTGCCTTAATAGCTTAGGAAGATCATATAACTCGAAAATACTCAGATTAGTACTTATCAAGTTTCCAACCCTCATGCATGAGAAGCAGGTGCTTTAACCTCCGAGTAGTGCCGTAATGTTATGTTACTTTACCACTATAATCACCACATAATTATTACCCCTTACTTAATGGTGTAATTATGAGTCTTAAAGCATATCAGACGGGCTCTAGTGCAAACGAAGTATGGATACAAATTCCATATAATGTCCGTGTAACAGTGCTTTTTAGCTAATTTACAACAGGAATTTCATCATTATTCCATAAAAACATTATATTACTCTTCGCTTCCATGTATTTAAACTAAATAAACCGCGAAACTGCGAAAAATACTAAATACATTTGTTGTTTCGACCGAAATACACGAGCGTTGGTTTTGAAAACAAATTACCTAAAATGGCATGTCAACTAAAATAGAGTGGTTTTAATCATCTGCTAAGAGCTTATGTTATACATGATATATATACGTATTATATGATGTGGCTGGTTTATCCATTGGGGATTCTGATGAGATGGTAAAGGGGGTTTGCATACAATTGACCTTAATGTAGTCAATGAATTTCAGTAGCGTACTATGTTGTTTTTAAAGATATCTTTTCGTCATCGGAACAGCTTTTCGTCTCTTAAATACGTACTTTATGATTTTTATTTAAAAAAAATCAACTTCTTTGACCCATTGTCCACATGTTCTTACAAAAAAACTCGATGTGTTGCTTTAGAGCTGGTTCGTGAAATTCATGACATCACAAAATATTTATCACCTGTCCGGATGCTTCGACAAGATTCAATATAGTAAAGAATTGCGAAAAAAGTCGCAGTGAAATATCGCTGTGCGGACTGATTTTAATTAGAATTTGTGCCCAAACGCAATAGTGGAGATGATGAGTCATTTTTGTTTTAATGTTCTGATTTTAACCTTTCTATCGCCGTAATTCGAGACACTATAGAAGAACAATAGGTGCAAACACACCAGCGTTCGCTTGGGGTTTCATGAATTAAATTGTTCTCACTTATTTTTCGATTTCTTACGATTTGAAATATTGTGTGCTTGTTTAGAAAATTCCATAATGTTTTTAAGATGGGGAAGGAAGGCTGTCAATTATGGACCTTGTGACGTGATGACTTAGTATATTTTAGACTGAGTGGTGACGTAGCGACATCCGTTTTTAAATCTCAATTCTTTTATCTAAGTATGTATTATTTTTCTAAGATGACTAAATAAAAATATTGGTTTTAAATTTATTTTTTCATTATCTGAAACTTAGATGATTTTCGTGCTCCACAATTATAATGATATCTAAAAATAGTAAAGAAACTAATGTAGTGAAAATATAATTGATATAGTGATAATATTAGAATGAGGAAAACTGTTACCTAAAATGTATAAAGGTACCTAAGTGGGTGTTAAACTGAATGACTAGCTGTCTATTTGATATTGGGGAATGAAACGCAATTTATTGCCAAAGTGAAATGATTTATATGAATATAAACTTGTATGTTATGTAGCGTAGGTGTTTTACCGTGTTATATTATATACACTTTATTAATAGGTACTCGCATATGTATTGTGTAGATGACTGAAGGTTTTTGGTGAGGGGGGGGGGGGGGAGGAATCATCGAATGAATGCTTTTAACCTAGGTGGGGCGAGACTGTCTGACTTTACTGACTAAAATCCAACCCGGCTCCATAGAGGGAGCAGGGACGGGGTGGATTGTGGCCAAGGCCATTGCACATTGTTACAGTTGACCTATAACACCTATTGAAAGGGAAAGGCTGGGTGAGGTTCGAAACTTACTACTTACTACTACCAATAGTGACCGTCTCACTATTGAGTCAATCTTTATAATTATACTTCCCAAATGACTTTCCTCCTCCTTCTCGCCCTGGATGGAGCAAGGAGGGTCAGACTTTTACTGACTAAAAACCACCATGTTCCTTCTCTTTCTCCTAGCCGGGACAATACGTCATTGAGCTTGCAACCCCAACCCTAGTTTTTATCCATACCTGCATATCTTCAGGCTTGTAGATTGTTCCCAACTTACTCCTAGCAAAGTTTTTCTTCTATGCATTCGAAATAGCTTGTGGAAGTACCACGCTTAAAGTAAATAAAAGTAAATAAGAAACTAGATAATTTTCTTAACGTACTGAGCTTATAAAACTTTGTGACCACCACACTTGCTAGGCAAACTAACAGAATCTTATCTTTAAATGCTTGCTGATATGCCTAAAATTAAGTTAGTTTAGATATAGTAACCCAGGGACGCGATTGTTCAAATATTATCTTCAATCAATACCTACGGCACATAACAAGTATTACGATCATATTAATCATATTCCACCTCGCTCCTGATTCTATTTAATTAAATAACTCAAAACTCACGGCTCAACTCAACCTACATTCTATTATAAAAGTGACAAGTTAATACTGAAATTTCAATTAAGTAATACTTCCATTATTTTGTATAAGGTACGTTGCTAGAACAAATCTCATGATTCAATAAGATTTCGTGTCACAATGAGAGCATCGTACAATACTTTATAATAATGTTCGCAATGAGTGTTACTCCTTTTCGCAGCGGTAAGACTAATTTTGAGGAGTGGCTAAAGAGACACTACGACCATTCTGCATCCGCAAGAGCTTACTGGATTACCGATCTTCAGGCCTACGCCTGAGTATAGTCACTGTCAGGACCACCTGGGCATTCGCGCGACTATCTCCAGTCAAAGTAAACTCGGGTCTGCGGACGGGCGAGCAAGGGTAGCTTGGGCCCGTAAAGAGCCAGACCCATAGGGCACGTCGCGTCCCGCACGCGATTCATAGAGCCATAAAAGACCACGACAGATGGGGCCCAGTAGGGCTGATAGGAGTATTCAGTTGGGTAAGCACAATACTCCACGGTGGCCTCGGCATGTCTTAAAACTACTAGAGAAATGGTTTAATGTTTAGTTTTTCGATTTTGAAGTCCTCGGAATCATTATCAACCTATAAGTGCCCACTACTGAGCTCCTTTTTCAGGGCCGATTTGCGATTTTAAACCTATATTTAGAAACAATAAGTCCAGGCTTTCCCATGATGTTTTCCTTCACCTTAAGACAGTGGATTGTCTAAATAAAGTTAGAAAGTACATATGGATAATTACTGTACTGTTGGCGCGGTGGCAGGGCAACTGGCTACCGTGCAACGTGTCGCGGGTTTGATTCCCGCACGGAACAACTCTTTGTGTGATCCACAAATGGTTGTTCCGGGTCTGGGTGTCATGTGTATGTGAAATTGTATGTTTGTAACCGCACCCACGACACAGGAGAAAATCCTAATGTGGGGCAACGTTTTTACTTCTACCTCAGTGCTACAACGTCATCCAGAATAGTTTGTCAGCAAATAAACTTTTTGTCAAATGTAAAGAGCGCACGTATTTGTAAACTAGTTTATTTCGTTTATTTATTTCATAACATTATATAGGTTAGGGAAAAATTTGATTTTGAAAATTTAACTCTCATATATTCATACTAAAAAAAAAACAATAATAACAGAAAAAAATGTAAAGTAGATAAACAAGGAGATTTGATATGGCAATCAGCGAAATTGAATCGGAAAAGAAAACATAAAAATTCGTTATGCGTAGGTAATGTCCAATTCCTAAAGAAATACACACGAAACGTATAATCTGCATCTTGTTTGTATGTATTTTGTTTGTTCCATTTCTATCATATTAGCTATTGTAATTATATGTAAATATAGTCTACACACCCTGTTTTCGTTGTAAGCAAACCCACAAATGGCTCTCTGGATATTTCGTACAATCTCCTTCAAAACACAATTCGATCTAAATAATGTTGTTTTGTTCCATTTCTTTCTATGTAACCGGACAATTTGTCCCATAATCCTCATCATAAAATATACTTTGTGTTACTTACTTTACGTTTTACTAAGTAAGTAATTGAAAGAAAGCGATAAATCGTCATTGATGAATATTTTATTTTAATTCTATGTCTAAGGTCCCATACACATGATAATTACCTACTGACGTTTTTATGTATTAGGGTAGATGAAGATTTGATAATTTACGGTAACAACTTTAATATGTGTTTCTTTTTGTTGCAGATGGATCAGAGAGACTAAAGCATATTGATGCTTCAGAAACCTGTGACCGTTCTTTTACACACTCACATCATGAGTCCTCTTAGTGAGGTCAGTGAGGTGAATGTGACGGACAACTCCTCGGCGCCGGTCGACCCCACACTCATCTTCGGCCCACAGAGAGACCCTCTGTTCATAGTACTGCCCATAACAATAATATATTCCCTTATATTTATAACCGGATTACTGGGCAATATATTTACATGCATAGTCATAGTAAGAAACAAAAGTATGCACACAGCTACAAACTACTATTTATTTAGTTTAGCTATATCAGATCTTCTTTTACTTATAAGTGGGATGCCACAGGAGATGTATTCAATATGGTCGAAGTGGCCATATGTTTTTGGACATAGTTTTTGTGTGATAAGAGGTCTTGCGGCAGAGGCTTCAACGAATGCCAGTGTTTTAACGATAACTTTGTTTACTGTGGAGAGGTACCTTGCTATATGTCATCCGTTTGTGTCACACAAAATGTCGAAGCTGTCGCGAGCGACAAAGCACGTGATGTGTCTGTGGGTGGCGGCGGTGATGCTGGCGTTACCTCAGGCCTTGCAGTTTGGCATCAGAGAGCACAAAGGAGTAGCAATGTGCCTACAAACCAGAGTCATCATAGAACATTCGTTCGAAATATCGACGTTCTTCTTTTTCTTGGCACCGATGGTGCTGATCACGGTGCTGTATTCACTAATAGGGCTGAAACTAAGAGAGACAAGCATAAGCAAAGAACAGTCACAGAAAGATTTCGAATCAACAATGAGATATACACATAAAATAAGTCGAAAACACAGCCAGTCCACAAGGAGAGTTGTCAAGATGTTAGGTAAGTTTAATTAAGTAAATTTACAAACAATTTATAGACAAATACGTCCCCTCTCTAATTCTCTCTGGTCCTATGTTTCGTTGAATGTATAGTTATTTTCATATTATCTTTAACTTGTCGTAACTATAATAGATACGACAAAAATACATTTACCGGATTCGGTTTTATTCCACTCATTCAAAAGTTATAGGCAATCATACGTGAGGAAGTTTTTTTTTTAAGAAGAAACAATATTTACAATATATATTTTTCAGTTTAAGTATTACGTATGATCATTATTTGCATCTAAACTCAATGCTTGATTAGCGTTCCATATGTTAAACAGGTAGTCTTTTTTATAAAGTTAAAACAATATATTAAAAACAATATGGATCTGGTAGGGCACAGCATATCATCACAATGTTTGCATAGATAGAAAATTCATGTCTATTCTACAATAATCAACAATGTTACAATCGAACAAATACCCGTATTATTAAATGAAAATGCAATGTGTGTCATGTATGATCCCAACGTGCTTTCCAACTGATTTCTCATCTATTAATTATATTAATGAAATGCATCGATGCTCTTTAGCCATATATGTAGCTGTATGTATATAATACACATATATTATGCATCAATGTCAAGCTCAAAGTCTGGGCTACAAAAGTTTGACGAAATTGTATTTCGGTTTTGTATAGGATAGGACAATATTTTTTGTTGCAAATAGACCAAGAAACAACACTTTAACATGTCAAAGTACAAGATACATACTATAGATGTAGATGTAGCCGGCATATATTTCCTATCTGACTACTCTGAGAAGAAATGCCGAAACAAACTCAACGGTTAGTTTTACTCTTAAAAGAAATGTAGAGGTCAGTCTCTAGTAGTCTCTTCAATATAATTAATAAATGTCTAAGTCTATTGGGGAAAGAATCACACCAATTTAAGTAGACCTGTTCTGAAGACAGGCACACAAGTGTCAGATTACATCCACTTCAAATAACAACTGTTGCTGAGTTGTCCAACGAACAATACAAAAAAGGAGCATACCTATCGACTGATGGTAAGCAATCTGCGCGGCCCATGGACCTAAAACACCAGAGGAGTTGCAAGAGTATATCTGGTCTTTTGGGGGTAGGAGCTTTGAGGATTATGGGATTTAGAAAGATATGGTATTGCATTGGGGATTGACTTTTGTAACAATGGTTTTTATTGATTGAAGTATTGTTATAAAGGATTCGTTACAGGTAATAATACCTTATGTAAATGACCTTGATTATCTTTCGTTTATCACAGTACAAACTCGGTTTTGCCTTTTATTTTCAAAGAACTCAATTATAGTCCTGACTTTTCTAACGTGATCATGACATTGACCGACATTATATCAAACATGTGTGTATATTCGACAGTTATATTTTAAGTTCTAATAAAACAATTATTGTATTTTATAGCTTTGCCTAATGATGGCAGTACAAGATCCCTCGTGTCATAAAGTAATTAGATTATGTACTTCGTCTATTTGAAGTTATTAATACTCCATGTAAGTCATCAAGACTTTGAAGTTCTGCTAATCTAAATCTCTTTCCTCACAGCTGGAACCCAGTTAGTAGTAGTTAGTCAGTGAGTTTCATCAATATTTAATTGATATTAATAAAATTAAATTTGCTTCAACACGTTATACTGTAATAAAGAGACTCAAAATAAATGTTTTAATAGAGCAATGAAGGCAAGACAGTGCGGTATTTATTATTTAGTATTTTTATCGGTTTCTTTAAATACTAATATCGCATGAGAAAGAATCGTTTTCTTGCATTTACCAATATTTATTACTCGTAAAATTACATTGTAATTTTTATTGTATGTACCTATGTATTTCTACCTTTCCTTTTAGAGATTAAAAGGAATGTTGTTATGTAGATTTTTGTAATATAGGATAGGAAAATCGAGATCTTGTATTTATCTGCTAGAAAATGTATAAAAGTTTTGTTGTGGGTCAAGCACATTAATTTATTGCGGCCCGGTTCAGAACAGAAGTTGCAATGGTGTAGTAAGAAAAGTTTGATGCTGACTGTCCTGTCACCTAGAATGGGGAATTTATTTGGTTTTCTTCCTGATTATTTTAAATAATACAACATCAACAACATTATCAGCCTATAAGTGCTAACTGCTGAGCAAAGGCCTCTTCTCATATGGAGAAGGTTAGAGCATTGATCACCACGCTTGCTCAATGCGGGTTGGTGATTTCAAACTTATAATTAGAAATTATAAGTCCAGGTTTCCTCACGATGTTTGTATATCAGTGGGATAATAGTAATAACTCGGAAAAAGTCACATTGCCAGGTTTCGAACCCACACCCTCATACATGAGAAGCGGGCTCCTTAACTTCCGGGCCACCACGACATTATACAACATTTTAAATAAATAATGTGTAATGTAATGTAGGCAAATACAAAACTAAAACAAATGACGGATCTCAGAAAAAAATAAAAAATATTGTGTATTCATTTGTTTAAATAGATATTTATTACCAACATACAAAAAGTTAAACAGTAAAAAACAATTTGAAAAATTATACGACTAAAAGCAAATTAGATTTTAAAAAACCAAATGCTTAATAACAATAAAAATTAAGGTAAACTTAAGGTGTTATTAAAATGTTAATTTAGTGAATTAAACTCAGAACATTATATCTAGTTCATGCAAATGACATTTACAGTAAAACATCAAGATTAGCCAGCTGTGACTTAAACTTAAAAATATATTAATATTAAATACTTCGACTAAAAACTATATTAATAATGGAACTCATTGTTTCTAAACAACTAAAGTAATATTATTTTTGCTGCATTGTGCATGGCTTATACGAGAGAAAGAAAAACTTGGAAGTTGTTACAAGAAAGTTGGAAATAGTTCTCGCTAGAAGCGTGGGATGACTGTTAGGTACACTGAAAATTCTAGAGTTAAATTTTTTTAGTTATTTTTGTAGTTGCCTTTATAACAGACGTGTATTAGATAATGACATTATGATGCCTTTCATAAAAATGTTATAATTTTATTTCAGGCCACTAATGATATTATGTTTCTTATTCCCACTACACTAGCATAACTGTTACCTAAGCACGAGAAACTTCTAAGTCGACTCAAATCTTTGGCATATTCTTCAACACATTTTTATCTTAATTGCAAAATAATATAGTTGAAAATCCGTTAAAGATATAATTTACGATTCAGCTTAGAGTCTTTCCTATAAATACTTCAAATAATAACAACATTAAGAAACCAGAGGTTACTGCAGTAATAATTCCTCATTTAATACTGTTGCAAAGAGAATTTCTGAAAAGATACATAAGAGATTTAATGAAATAAAAGCTTTATGACATTGTTTTAAGTATTATGTTTGTTTCACAGTGGCAGTGGTGGTGGCGTTTTTCATTTGTTGGGCGCCTTTCCACGCTCAGCGGCTCGTCGCCATTTATGGAACGACTGAGAACCACCTGGCACGCTCACCGATACTCCTTTCTGTGTACTCGTTCCTCACCTATACTTCTGGAGTTTTCTACTACATGTCTACGTGCATCAACCCCATATTTTACCACATAATGTCCAATAAATTTAGAGACGCTTTCAAGGTAACTGATAAATTAACTTCATCCAGTCTTTGTAGCTAGGTACATTAATATTTATTATATAATCTACATATATTTTTTACAATTAAAACTCGTTTGACGTCAAGGATTGTGCCTATTTGCTAATTAAGGAAACACGGTGTTTGAATGCGTACAGAATATAGTATAATAAGTGAAAATTGTATTATTTGCCGAAGACGTTTACGTAAAAACGTGCAAGTCAATACGATTATAGTCTTAGTTTTTGGTGAAATTGAAATAATATTTTTTTGTTATTAATAAAAGTTTTAGTAAATGAAGCACGTGGTAAATATTCGAGAATATTGAAGTTAGCAGACGCTCTGTTTCAGAACTCAGTGATGCTCTGGTGCTGCCGGTCGAGCGAGAGGGCGGCAGCGAAGCGGTGTTCATACACAGCCATTGCCTTCCAACGGAACCCTACGTCCAGCGGTACTGTGCACTCAGGTTATTTAACATCATTTTTTTTCTATGGCATAGGTCGGCAAACGTGCAGACGGATTACCTTATGGTAAGCAATCGGCGCCCATGAACACCCGCAACACCAAAGTAGTTACGAGTGCGTTGCCGGCCTTTTGGGAAAAGGGTTTTGGATATTTAAGGATTGGAAATGGATGGGGGAGAGCGAGTGATTGGGCCCCGGGTAACCTCACTCTCACGGCAAAACAAAACGCTACGGTTGTTTCACGCCGTTTTTTGTGAGGCCGTGGTATTGCTCCGGTTAAGCCGACACATTCGTGCTAAAGTTTTGAATTAAAACTTTACGTAGATCATAATTAAAACTATTTTTATTTTCATAATCAAAACATGGCATTTCTCTACAACATTACCCCATTACAGCAATGCTCCATGTTTTCATATATGTGTATTATGCACAATGTGGCGGTGACTATTGCGAATTCTATATTATTTTATTCATCAGATATTGTACGATACAGCAATCTTAATAGTAGCTATAAAATGATTAACCGGATGCATTATTAAATTACATGCAGAAAAATGCAATTTCGACAAACATTCAGTACTTTATAAACAAAGTGTATCTACCTACATATTTCGTTGAATTTCCCATTAACATTTTAGATAGGAACATTAATGCTCTTATACTTAATTAACATAATAATGTATTTCAACAAATTCACAACGCAATCGTAATTAGCGTTCATTGTAATTATTTGTGGAGATGGATATTACCAAAAACTTCTCATGTGTTCTATAAATAAGTTCCAAAGAATATTTTAAATGTCTGAATTTAGCGTTGATTTTTAGTTGAGACTAAATTCATTCTTATTTACAGGTAATTCACTGAAGAACTCGTTGCGGCAAGAGCCTAGTATCCGTAACAAGATGAGGCAGGACAGCAGGGATCGGTTCCTGCCGACAGTACACGTCTGTCACAACGGCAGGACCATAGTCACCCCTCCACTCCATGACTACAGGACCTGCAAGAACCACTCCTACCAGCTATCTTTAAAAGACGAGATTATTAATAATAGGAACTCGTACCTCGACACAGCTTTGCGATTAGCAGATGACAGGAGAAGGCCATGCTCCCCAGCTTGCTGCACCTACCCATCATCCCCTGCGGAAACCATCTCAGTGACCCCCGATGGCATTGTACCAATAGAAAGCGCAGATTACTCAGCAGACGAGCCAGAAAAGTATCTCAAGGAAATCAAACTAAGAATAATACAACGGGAAAAAGAGTACGGATAAAAGTACTTTTAATGTGTGAAACCTAAAACTAGGGACATAAAATGAACAATTTTGTCAATTTCTTGACGTTGCCGTCTATCCAATGTAAATATAATAGACGTTCAAGATACAAACAATAACTTGTTATAGTGTAGTTTGAATAAGTATTTGTCGAATTGTTTATACATTTTTGAAAACTGAATTGTACGTGCCTAACTAATTGAAATTAATTCGGGAAATGTCCCCATGAAAAGCCAGTTCTATTTACAAAACAAGTTTTTTTTTAATACATCTTAATGTCTGATAAACTTTTTAGTTTTAATCAACCTTTAAATTTCAAGAAATGTAGAGAAATTCGAGTTTTTTTGTGTCGAACAAGATATCTTGGTTATTTTTTTTGGTTTTAAAAGATGTACTTTTATGTCTGTGTACATTTGTACTTCTTCTTGACAAATCTCTAGCATTTGTATTCTTTTAAAGAAAACAATGTTTTTCATTTAGGTACTTTTCAAATATTTATTTTTCAATAACTACATAATATAAGGTCATGAAGCCAAAAAATACAATATTTTGCAAATTATTAAGAAGGCTTACAAAATCATATTTTGTTGGTAGTTTCTGATAAGAAAACGCTTCCATTATAATGTTTTACAACCATAAATTGTGTACTTGGTATTATTATTTATAGTACAATGTATGTATATTATTGACAAGACTAAAATATTAACAGGTCTAACATTAATCAAATTATGTAATGTACTAGCAAATTTTTATAAAATGGCGATAATTTTTCATTGTTATAAAATTGACAAAATTCGAATAGATACATTATTTTAAGCACGTCCGTAAATATTAGATTTTACGAAAGTATTAATGTCGTGAGTCCAAAGTTGTACTTAATCCTAAGCTGAAAGCATTTTTCGGAAAGCCTTTGTCATTTTAGGCTCTTTTTGTAAGTGAAAATTAGAATAGCAATTAGTGTGATCAAAATTGTGAAACCAGATTAAGTCGGTTATATTTTTATTATTTGTTAGTATGGCAGCTTCTGTGTAAATTTATACTGAATATATTTCATCTGTTTGGTAATCTTCAGACGTTTGAATCGTTATCAGTTTGTCGAGGCTTCCGCTGTCAAAACTTTGTTTTATGATCGCTTAAACCAAGAATGAAGTCATTGAACAATCGTTGCACGATGTATAGTTGAATCTTATTTACAAAGATAAATAATTACAGATATCTGCTGCCATTCTCTTCGTTATATAAAACATTTTGTTGTTACTACAGTACATACAAGCTTCCTCATTATTTGGTCCTTCGCGTTTACGAAGATTGTGGCGAAGCCGACACAAGCTGAAAAATAATGATCTTTACAAAATACACCTACATAGTTCACAGCTATCCTAGTTTCCACTTACTTTGTCTTATCGATATTTTTAAAATATGAATGTATTTTTATGTGATTTTAATCTTTTTGGGACAGGACTTAAGTTTAAGTCCGTATTGTGAGACTGAGATTAAAAACTAACGCATGTTTCAACGAAATGCGAAGGAGTTAGTTATAGGTATCTATATTAATGCTTTTTCTCTTTATATTTTAGTGATTTTTATTTTAATATATTATATAAATGTAATTTTTACCTCTGTAAATACCTCAACAACTATGAGAATGTAAATAAAAATGTGCCCTAAGTTACATATACCTACGTAAATAAATAGTTTTTGTTTCCGTCTTTGCGTTATAAATATTCTGTTCGTACGATTTTTTATGTGGAAAACGCATAAATTTAAATGTACCTAAAATGTTTTTGTTCAAAATTGGAGGGATTGATCGTGCAGGAAAGTATTAAATTATTCTTTTAAGGTTTACTTTAAAAAAGTCTATGTTGATTTTTTTATGACTGAATAATAATATGTTTAGTATGAATTCCAATTTAGCAAAAGCTCTTTGAGATCGCGAGGTCATGATAAGGATCCTATTTTCGGGAGATCTCTTTTGATGGTCAAAGAAAAACTGAGTAATGCATTTATTCCCTAAGATAGCTTGAAGTGATTCTGGTACAGTCGAGTCAAGACTAAATTTAATTTAGTCTTGCTTTTAAAGAACCAAAGCATAAGTATAGCAAAAAATATTTAATATATAAAGACGGACAGAATATTTAAACTTTATATTGTCTTTGTAACATTATTTTGTTTTTATTAAAAACGCCGATGTATTAAATGAACAATTTTAATACTTAGACATAATAATGTTTAATAGTGTTCGCTGCATTATTATTACGTGATTTAAACAATAATAAAAAAAATGGGTAAACATTGTTTATTGTTTGACGACTTTTATTTCCGATCCCTCGTAATATTATTTTGATACTGTTATGATGAACGACTTGGTTGATTAGTGGAAGAAGTGATCATTTAGCACGAAATACAGACAGACTTATGGATTCCCGAGTCGAGTAGGTATGTATTATTAAAGCAGGGTCAAGATGAATTTTCACCAAGTAAATAATATCACAAGTTATTGAAAGTAACTACCATTTTCTATGGAATGGTATGTAAGCATCACACAATAGGAATGCTGCTGAACGGACTATGAAAATTAAATATTTTTTTACACGTCGTAGTTGACAACAGTTTTTTTTGAAATAATTAAACAATATTTAGATTTAATGGAGCGGGAGCGTGCGCAAACGGGCAAATAGATTACCTGATGGTAAGCAATTGGCGCAGCAAATAGACACCCGTAACACCAGAGGAATTAGGAAAACGTTACCTTTCGGGGCATCGGATATGGGCATTTAAGGATTGGAAGGCAATTGAAGGAGGAGAATGATAAGGGCACCGGTAACCTCACTCACACGGCGAAACAACGCTGTGGTTGTTTCACGCCGGTTTTCTGTGAGGCCGTGGTATGATTCGACCTGGCTCATTTATAGTAAAATATGGCTCTCCCACATTTAAACAGTCTTCATCTCTGGTTCGATTCCATACTAAGGTTTGTTAAATGTTTGAAATAATGAGAAATAGCACGGACATACTTATTATAACGTAAGTGGTAAAAGTTTTCTTCAATTTTGGCATCTTAAAATGTTTATTGGGCATATAAGAAAAACAACAGCCAATAAACAAAATTAAGAAATCAAAATTTTCTAGGAAATCTCGATGTTTAACCATAATAGGTAATATTCAGTATTCCCAACTTTGACTGCTGTATAAATAATATTATTTATTTCTAAAATATTGAAAGCAAATCAGCTGGAAGTAACGAATTTACTTTTACTTTAGTATTAAAATGTCTGTTATTTTCAGACCTAGTCAATCGGAAGAGACTCAAATAAAAGTGACTAACAATAAAATGAAGCTGTTAGTGTTTGGTCTGGAAAATTTAGTGTTTTTAGATGGTTTAATAAAAAAATTCTACATTAACTAGGGACCTGTCCCAGCTACGCACGTGTTCAATATTGCTATAGCATTTCTCCGCTATTAAAATGTACGCTATTATAAATATAAATCTTCCTCTTCAATTACTCTATGTGTAAAAAAACCCGCATCAAAATCCATTGCGTAGATTTAGGCATACATACATAATAGGGATATAGGGACAGATAAAGCGACTTTGCCTCATACTATAATAGTGATATGCACCGCTTTCTGAGCAAGGAATCGATGGATCAACGATCTGCTGTGTGATTCTGTAAGACTTCATTCTAAACTTCGAATCTGAATCGAACTAAAATCGCTGTGAGTTGAACTAAATTGGCGGCAACATTTTGATAGATAATGTATGAGATGACGTTATTGAACGTCAATGTCGTTAACGACGTTCGACGTCACTCGTCACTCACTTCGACGTTCACTTCACACTCGAACAAGATTCAAAATCAAACAAATTTTATAGAATCGAAGTGCAGCTCAGCAATTGTCAGTAATAGTACAGAATCTAACTTTATAATTTTTTTAAATAAATTAAAATGGGTATCATAATATTGTATCAGTGGATTTATGTAGGTAGGTACCTCTCTCTTTACCACGTCGTGGGTAAAAGGTGGAATAGTACAAATAATTCCTTCAATATTATTGCCCTCAGAATAGACTACCCAGAGCCGTATCCCTAGGATGAGGTGTCCTTTGCTTCGTTGTGTTCACAGGGAACTGATCACTGGTGGCACCCGACTTTAGTCAAGGCCATGTAGTGGAACGAGAAGAACTCGGAAGCCGTCTTCTCCTTCTGAAGCAGTCATACTCAAAAAGAAGTAGGAGGAATACGTGATAGAACTATTCTTCTCTCGATCCAGTGGCCGCAGGAGACTGTAGCATCACCTGGTTTACCACATATTCCATAAAAAAAAATAGAGCCAATGTCATTATGCAAGCACAATACATTACAGCGGTCCCGGAGCAGGAGAAGGAAAGTAGTGTTATTTTGTCAATAAGAGTCTGACTCTCCCTCTCACCCCATCTATGGCCGGTAATAGTCATAAGATGACTTAAAAATAAAAGATTTTGTTTTCTATCTCTATCAGGAAAAGAGTAGAAGAAACATAGCAAGCTCGTATGTCTTAGTGGTTTACAAATGAATAATAAAGAAAATCATACATACTTACATGAACCCGAAGAACATAAAACTTCTTTTGTTGGGTCTTGTTGGGCAGCCGTGTAAAAAAGCAATGTCTAATTTTAACTTAGCATAATTGCACACCAAATGGGTAAGCGAAAATTAAGTTTAAATTTTAAAGATTAAATGTTACCGAGAGAAACAAGATAAATGACGATCACCTCGGCAGTCTACTATGCTAACAGAAAATAATTAATTTCTTAGTTTGCGTTCTAAAGCAAAGAGAATGTCGTTCTAAAAATATACTCACTCCTATATGAAATAAGAAAACTACGGTGCTTGAAATAGTTATACGAGCATAATCAAATAATGAGGATACAGGAAACGTGCCGGCTAGATCGTTTGATAGCGGGTCAATAAGTCTTTATACATAAGGTATAATGGTTTTCCTATTTTTATCTACTGCATC